GACACTACAGTGACTTCGTAATGAACCTATTTGTGCGTTTCTTACTGCGCAGACGCAATCTACTACGTCACTCTTTGGAAATCTATTTTCAACAACACCATTCTTTTACGCAATTTGCATCAAAGAAAAAACTGCGTTACCAAAGTCAGAAACTTCGTCATCACCATCACACTTGTTCCTGTGTGGTCTGGCTACACCTGGGCCACCCCGAATGACATCTGCGATTGAAACGACCACAAAACACAGACGTTGTGCAAGGGGCAAATTTTCCTACTCGTTCTTGCACGTCCTAAAAATGGCAATCGCGGTTTTGTAATCAGAAAAAACCACAGGAATGTTTTACGTCCAGTGAACGTAAATAGTAGCAAGAATACGTAAAACGCAATTATTTTTATGCTTTTATCGTACCCGCTAGCGTTTTACGTCTTAAGCCTTTGTTTGTTAAGTACGCTGACGCCATAATATTTAGAACGCGTTCAAAAATGGGAAAATACATGCCTGCATAGGCAATATCTTTTAAATATAACGCTTTGTTAACTTACGACATGATTGACAAACCTCCATCGAAACAAGACGAGTCTTCATATCTTTATGGCTTTTCTTTCATCATCTTTTAGTACTCAAGGACAAACAGGTTTGGGTCCCTTTTCTTTAGAATTCACAGTCAACGAAAAAAAAAATCGTTTCAAAGATTTCGTCTACTAATGCAGAGATTTTGTTAGTGACAATAATGAATTAAGCTGTTCATTTTTTGCTCTTCGTTTTTAGAATAACGATAGGAAATTGTCCAAACGGTGTACACAAAAAAGCCATGCTGTGTTTCGGGGATATCTGATTTAAACTTTCGGAAAGTTATGAAAAAAAGAATTGTTTCGATCAATAAAATTGCGTATTTCTCCTCCAAACTTCAATTGACGTTCGCAACTAGCACTTATTAGAAAGTGACCGTTGGAGATCTGTTTTCTTAAGCATCCTTCATCTTTTTAAGTCTATAGATCAAATAACTGACAACTGACAAAACCTAGCAATAATTTTAACTGACAATTTTCAAACAGCCAGATTCAAGTTATCCAGATCACAGTGGCCCCAGTGAGTTGATCAAAAATTAGCGATCAGTATTAAAGAGGAAAACGTCTGTTTAACAAACGACGTCAATTGCCTAAATGAAAAGCTGAAAAACTGATGCGATCACATTGTTACAAAGCACAAAAGAACAGGATTTAACATCTGAAATAACGCTATCCACAATACAGATTAGAAACTGTGTATTTAATTTCTGTATTTATTTCAAGGTTAAACCCACTTTTTTTTCCTTTCGTTTTCTTTAAAGTGTCTACTGCTCCTGTTTGACATTTCACTCATTCATTAAGCGGGTCGCTTCACTTAGCAAGCACTTCTGAGTTTCTAGAGTTACACAAGCACTACGTCCAGCCCATCAAAAGGAGTCCTTTCAGTCCACAACGTGAAACAAAATGGTTAAACAAGATGCCGCGATTTATAATTTTATTGCATTTTCCTTCGGTGGCATCTGTCACTCACATTTGTTGACCAGGGTAGAGCTATTTCAATGTGTCAAAGTGTGGTAAAATTAAACACAAATAGGGGGAAAATCGCAATGCAAAAACACAAAAATAGGAATTTGGTCAAAAATAAATTAAAAACGGCAATATTTGGCAGATTTCCGCTATTTTAGAATATCACCTTTGGTTTTAGAACGTGTTAATTTTAGGCCCACTCCCAAATGAACCAAATAAAACGAAAACAAAAAAAATGGAATCACACCAATTAAGAGTCCACCGCTCAACTACACTAGAAACGTTTATTTCATACTTTGATGTTTGATCATAGTTCACAGACTAATGGCCTGTTAATATGGAAAAGAGTAGAAACTATGTATTTAATTTCTGCATTTATTTTAAGGTTAAACCCACTTTTTTTCCTTTCGTTTTCTTTAAGGTGTCTATTGCTCCTGTTTAACATTTCGCTCACTTATTAAGCGGGTCGGTTGACTTAGCAAGCACTTCTAAGTTTCTAGAGTTATAGAAACACTACTAGTTACGCGATTGCACTAGAAACGTTCATTTTACTTTGATCACAGTTTATAGACTAAGAGTCTGTTTCTTTGGAGAAGAGCAGTCCCTGACGATAGGGTTACCTTCTTTTCAAGCGATCTTTTACCGAACGTTTATATGGAAAAAGTTGTCGCTGCTGACCCGGCCAAGCCAAACAGTGATCCTTCCTAGTTTCGTGCATGCTCGATATGCCTCGATGTGTTCCTGGTAAGCGAATTAAACATATCCAAAGTGTTTACACGTAAAATGTTTGCTCGACCCCCAGGGTCACTCTACCTTCAAAGCGAGTGAACCTTTGTTCAGTCATCCTAGCCCCCAGTTGAG